AGAGATACTCCTGCGTAAGTCCAAAATGACAAAGGTAAAAAATTATTCATTACTGCAATTAGTAACAGCAAAAGATTGAAAACAACCCAAATGTCCAACAACAGAAGTCCAACAACTGAATCAACTATGGTAAACACACACAATGGCATCTTATTTATATAGCAGTTAAAAAGAAAAAAATAGTAATATTGATTAAGGAGATCTCCAGGACACATGGAAAGAAACTATACTTGGTTGGGACAAAGAATGGTTTGGGTGAGGGAAGCAGAATGAGATGAGGTATCACTGTGAGTTTTATTTCTTTTGTTGTTGTATCACATAAATATATAGTTTCTTTTCATTTTTAAAAATGTGTTGTTTTTGTTTTTTTTAAGATTTTTAAATTTTTTAAAAGTGATCACGATACTCAATGTGGGGCTTGAACTCACAACCCCGAGATAAAGACCTGCATGCTCTACCAACTGAGCCAGCCAGGTGCCCCCATTAGTTAGTCTTTAAAGAATCAAATTCATTTTTTAACAAGCAGTCCCTGAACTTGAAAACAAATTGAAACAAATATTGTTTATATATAAATATACACACACACAATGTATAGTTGGATTCCCAACTGTACATTAACTTGAGTAACAAAGTTCCCTAAAGAAAGGATTTAGACTTTAGAACAGAGAATTGACTATACATCTTTAGTGGGATGCACTCTAAGGACAAAATAGCTACAAACAAATTTTTCCTATGATAAAGTATGTTCATGGTTACTATTAATACCAGTAATGTTACTGTGAAACCACTTTCCTTATATTGAAAGATAAAACAAAGAAAATAAGCATTTATGTGAACATGTTTCAAAATTTTTACTATGAAATACAATTAGGAGCTAATAATTAGATAAAAATATCATAAAATTTAAATCAAATTAGAAATACTTATATGACCTCATGATTTTTTTAAAATGGATTTTCTAGCTCTATCACCAAAATGCCTTGAAACAAAATTACTGGGGCAGCAATGAGAGAACATCAGCACCCAGATCTTAGGCTCTAATACCATTCTCCAATAAAAGGAACCAGAGCTCCTTGGGAGAAATGGCAAATTCGAAGGCTAAGAGGGAAGACAGAAGATGGGCCTGGAGTGCAAGAAAGTTTTCAAATTAAACAGCAGCAAGTCAAAATGAACTAGGAGTCAGACTGGAGGAATGTCCACCAGCTAAAACTGTGGTAATATGAGTATCAGAAAGAAAATTAGTTTTAGTTACTAGAACACAACTTTATAATGATGCTTACAAGTCAGAAAAATTTGAAACAATCTGAGGTTTGCAATCAAATAAATGTAAAAGGAATTTTAAAAACTAGGAAATCACCACTTTCCAACCCTTAAAGAAGCTGATTTAGCCAAGGATTATTTATCAGTGTTGAAACCATCCATTAAATCAATGGGGAATGAACATTCATATGGTACCAAAGTAAATCATAAAGATTTCATTTTGGTCAAAAAGGGAAAAATATAATCACTACTGATGTCTCTCCTGATGTTATGCAATTTGAAGATCATCTCTGATGTACTCTGGCCAAAAGTCAGTCACAATTGGGATTTTTATGCTCAGCGGGAGGCCTGCTTCTCTCTCTCCCACTCCCCCTGCTTATGTTCCTTCTCTTGCTTTGTCTCTGTCAAATAAATAAATAAAATCTTTGAAAGAAAAAAACAACAACAAAAAAAACAATTGGGATTTTTAAAAAACATGATCAGAGGTTCTGAATTACAACCATGAGAAAGTAACCACAGAAATCAAAGAACATTTTCATGAAAAAGATAATGATGGGTTTCTAAAGATGAATGTAACTTGAACACAGAAATCTAACTTCCTCATTCCAGTTATAAAAGGAAATGTCAAAAAAAAAGTTTAAACATGGAAATAAAAAAAGAACATCTATATATATATGAATCTTTCAGAAATATCTACCAGAAATAGTACAAATGGCTGTACTATTTCTAAGGAACTATTATTTTGCAGATACTAATAATACTGCTATTTATCATTTATCAAGTACTTACTACATACCAGGCACTATTCTTTAGAACTTAGAACTCCTTAATCTGCACAACCAACCACCCCATGAATTAGATACTATTATTTTCTCTCTATTAGTAAATGAGAAACAGGCATAGGTTTAAGTACATCCAGGTACAACGTGGCAGACTTCTGAGTTAACGGTAGTCTGGCTCCATGGCCTATGTCCTCCTTAAAAACAAACAAACAAACAAAAAAAACCTTTAACTTTTAAATACTAAATTCATATACTTAGAAAACCAACATAAAAAGTTATTTGTCCGGGCACCTGGGTGGCTCAGGTCATGATCCCAGGGTCCTGGGATGGAGCCCCCCCTCCCCCCCATTGAGCTCCCTGCTCAGCAGGGAGTCTGCTTCTCCCTCTCCCTCTGCCCCCCAACCCCCACGCATGAATCACTCTCTCTCAAATAAATAAAATCTTTAAAAAAAAAAAAAAGCTATCTGCCTTTGCCCTACCTATCCCGGTACCACCACCCCAAACAGATAGCCACTTTTATCAGTTTCTTGCCTATCTTTTGTACTCAAACATATATTATTTCTGCCTCTTCTTACTTCAAATGAAGCATACCATACATTTGGCATCTTGCTTTTTTCACTGAACAATACATTTTAGAATTATTTCAGAGTCAATATACAAAAAGCTTCCTCCTCATTCTTTTGTAGACTTGTGTATTATTCTGTGTATAGATGGACCTAATTTTATTCAACGAATCTCCTAGTGATGGCTAATCTTTACCTATACCTGCAATGAGCAACCTCATACCTGTATCATTTCATGCAAATGCAGGTACATTTGCAGGATTAATAACCAGATGTGAAATAGCCACACCAAAAAGAAAATACATTTGTAATTATAGATGTTGCCTGCTTCATGCTAACACCAATACAATTTTAATTTCTAAGTATTTATATTTTAAAATACGTTACCACTAGATGGATGGATCTAGAGAGTATAATGCTAAGCGAATAAGTCAAAGACAGAATACCATATGATTTCACTGATGTGGAATTTAAGAAACAAAACAAACGAACAAAGGAAAAAAAAAAGACACAAACCAAAAAAAACAGACTTAACTACAGCGAACAAACAGATGGTTACCAGAGGGGAAGTGGGTGGGTAGGGGGATGGGTGAAACAACTGAAAGGGATTAAGAGTACACTTGTCTTGATGAGCACTGAATAATATATACAGTTGTTAAATTACTATATTGTACACCTGAAACATATAATGCTGTATGTTAACTATACTGGAATTGAAAAACAAAAAACTAAACAAACAAAAAAACATTAGCGCTGGCCTCCCACCTCCCAACACCCAACTGCTTTTCTTTTTCACAGTTTTACTGGCTATTCTAGCTTATTCTTCCATATGAAGTGCATAATCAGTTTATCTAATTACCCCGCTCTCCCCCAAAAACTGTACTTTTATTACGATCACACTGAATTAATAAATTTATTTGCACACGCTTCTTTATGACGTATTCCTATTAAAAACATGGTGTATCTAATTAATATGTGAATAACACTCAGCACGTTTTAAATTTCTTTTCTAATAGTTTTGCATACTGTTTCTCATTTTTTTATTGCTATTGTAAATAGTTTTCTTCTATTATGTGTTCTAACTGGCTGTTGTTTATTTGGAGACTGTTGATTTGTAAATATTAAATTGGTACCCAATTACTCTAACTCTTATTATTTAAGATTCTGTTGGGATGACTGTGGGATTCCTTAAAAAAAGCATCTTTGTAGACAGGAGTAACGGTCTTTATTACTTCACAAAATCCATTCAGCTTGGAAATACCTCGATTCATTTAGGAGTCAGACATCTAGAAACTAGGTCAGACTAATAAATAAACATTGCAACAACTAAATTTTCTTCAAAGAACGAGGATAACCGTGCCTAACCTAGAACTCCAAACCCTTGACTCTAATCCTGGGTTTTCTGTGCTATATGACGCTGTTGCTCAAAGTGCAACGTCGGCATTTAATCTAGGACTTAGCAGCAGCCCTATTAAAATACCCTGAAGATCAGGAGATCTGAGATCGTCTCAAGCTCCCCCACGAACAAAAAGTGCCTTCGAAATAGTCTTGCTTGCTTAAAAAAGAAGAAACCACGGTGATCTGCATTCTACTCCAATTAAAAGTAAATGTTTTGATATAAAAATTCACTTTTAAATCATTTATCACGTAGCTTTTTCCCCCTTCAAATAGTCAAATAAAAAACACTCCACGAAGATGGCACCGTTATTATCAGCACTTTCGACAAGGGAAGTGCGGCTCAGATATTATTACCTCAATGCTAGTCTCCTACATCTTCCTCTCAGATGCAGCCATACACAATCCTGCACCCACAGTTTCTCACTCAATAATTCCGACATCCAAACTTACGTACAAACTCAGGGTCACACACGCTCGAACCCTCCTCAGAAACCCCCACCCCCACCCCACATGTAGGCCAGAAGCTCTTAAACCCACTCCTCATCCCCGCACCGCGCCCCAACAGATCCAGAATCCTCCCCTTCAACCTCCCCGACCCGACCGGCCCAAGACGCCCACATCCCACCTCCTACTTTCGCGCCACGTGGACCCAGGGGCCGGACTGACCCGCGGACAAAGACCAAAATGTCCACTCGGCGCGCTGCGCCTGCGCACTCCGAGGGCGAGCGAGCACTCCCAGAAGTCTCCGCGACGCGGCCCGCACGGTCACCGTGGCCCGGCCCAGGCTGGTATTTGATTACCTTCTGTCAACAGCAACGCCGCTTTTCCGGCCTTGAACTACATTTCCCTTAAGGCTTTGCTGGTCAGCTCTCTGTCCCACACGAACTTGGCTGCCTCTTCCAGTGATTATGGGGCTCTCAGGGTGAGTCGTCCTGCTTTAGAAGAAAATCAGCTCAAGCCTGGTGGGAGGTTTGGAGCAGGGACTTCGTCTTTGAAGCTCCCCCGGGCGCAGTGTCAAACGGCCAAACTCAGGCTCGGAGGTACGAGGACGCCATCTTATCTGTGTCTGGTCTGGCTCTGGACTACGTTTCCCAGAGGCCACCGTGGCCCGACGTTACGTCTTTCTTGACGTCGTGGCGAGATCGTTAGCTCCACAGGGACCCGGACGCGACCAAGGGGAGGCAGAAGGTGAGGGGTCTGGGAGTCCGGGGCGGGGACGGGGCGTGTCCAGAGCCTCCGGTCTGTGAGCGCTGGCGGGAGCCGGCTGAGGATGCCGGGTTGTGAATGAGTCTTTGTGGCTGCGTGACCAGGTGTGGGTGACTGGGTGTGCGGTTGTGCCCGCCTGGCTCCAGGGTGTAAGTCTGGTTGTGTTTGTGTAACCATGTGTGATACTGTGTGTTGGGGTGTGAGGTCCTTGCTACTGTGACTGTGTCTCTGTTGTGTATGTGTGACTGTACGCCTTGTTCTTGGGAGTGCGGGTGTCTGTGCGGTTATGATTCCATGTCTCCAAGGTGAGCGTATGGTTTTGGTTGCACAATATTGTAGCCGCGTGTGGTATTGTGTGCAGTTGTGTGTCTGTGACTGTGTGGTGACAATGCGTGTGTATCCCTCTTGTGTCCCTTGGAGTGTGTCTGTGAAACGGTGGCTGTGTGTGGTGCTGTTTTTAAGTGTAACGTGTCTTTCTTTGCCTGTGTGAGTGTGACTGTCTCAGAGTGAATGTTCAGTTATGACTGGTTGGTGTTGGGTGGGCCGGAGTGCCAGCCATTATGTGTGTCCCCCAAGTGGGTATGTGATTGTGATTGTGTGAGACATTTGTGGATATTGGTTTGGAAAGGCTGTGATTATATGAGAGTAACTCTGCGAATCATGGTGGTGAGTAGAATTGAGTAACTGTGTATGTCTTTTTAGTGGGTGTGAGATTGTGACTGTGTATAAGGGCCTGGAGATGTCTGTGATTGTGTAGTTTTGTCCTTGTGTGTTTCAAGAGTGGATGTGTGGTTGTATTTGTGTGACACTGACCATTTGTGTCCCACCCAGTGTGCTGATGTGAGGTGCCTGTGACTCCAGTATACTGACCGTTGCAGAATCTGTGAAGTTAGAACAGACTGTGGCCCTGGATAGTGATAGCCTCAACCTTTACCTGTGACACTGGGATTGGTCATAATGTCCAGTCTTCTCTTGACTTCTGTCTCCTGTGTGGAGATCAAAATGTTCTGCTTACTCACAATTCCTTTTTTTAAAAGTCTTCTCCAAGAAGATGTTGAGAGGAAAAGGAAAGAATTGCTATTGAACATCCAAAAGCTAAGCTCAAGATATATCAGTTTTTCTTCTTTCCCTGAGACCCTTCTTGTTTTTCAGGATGTGCTTTTCTTTTCTTTTTCTGAAACTTCTTGCCTAACTTCTCTTCCCCCAAAGGACCTGGTCTGCAGTATATTGCCATTGGAGTAAATTATTGAGAGCCCTTTAGGTGAACTGAAAGGTCCATATACCCCCTACTTCCTGCACACCTAATGTTCAATAAAATTTTTTTAACTTTTCAGGATGCCTGGGTGGCTCAGTTGGTTAAGCACTTGCCTTCGGCTCAGGTCTTGATCCTGGAGTCTGGGATCGAGTCCCACACGGATCGAGTCCCGCATTGGGCTCCCTGCTCAGCAGGGAGTCTGCTTCTCCCTCTGACCCTCCCCCCCTCATGCTCTCTCTCTCTTTCTCTCTCTAGCTCATTCTCTCTCTCAAATAAAATCTTTTAAAAAATAGATTTTTTAAAATTTTTCATTTTGAATTAGTTTTAGACTTAAAACTCTTGCAAAAATAGAATTCCCATATACTGTTTTTTCAAGATTTTATTTTTAAGTAATCTCTATACCCAGCATGGGGCTCGAACTCACAAACCCAGAATCAAGAGTTGCACACTCCACTGACTGAGCCAGCCAAACACTCCAGAATTCCCATATATTCTTAACCTGTTGCCCCATTTTACCATTTTATGGTTATGTTTCCATTTTCAATAATCACAGTACATGATCAAAACCAGGAGATTAACATTGATACACTACTACTAACTAATATACAAACTTTATTCAAATTTCATCAATGTCCCGTAGTGTCCTTTTTCTGCACGAGGATCCAATCCAGGATCATATGTTGCAGTTAGTAAGTCTTCTTAGCCTTCTTTGATCTGGCACAGTTCCTCAGTCTTTGTCTTACTTGACCTTGACACTTGTAAAGAGTACTAGCCATTTATTTTGTAAATTCTGCATTGTAGAATGTTCCCCAATTTGAGGTTGTCTGATGCTGCCTTGTGATTAAATTCAGAGTATGCTTTTGGGACAAGAATATCCCTAAAGTGATGTGTTCTTCTCAGTACATCATATCAGGAGATCCAAGAGGTCAATTTGCCTCATTATTAGTGGTAACTTTAATCACTTGGTTAAAGTGGTGTCTTCCAATTTCTCCACTGCAAAGTCACTATTTTTCCCATTATAATTAACATGTGTCTTGTGGAGAAATACCTTAAACTTCTCATCTTCCACCTGCAAATCTTAACATTCATTAATTTTTGCCTGAAAATGTTATTACAGGCTATTGGCCAAATGGTGATTTTTAAATTTCCATCCTTCCTTCTACATTTATTAAATAGGATCCTACTGTTAGGAGATTTTCCTTCTCCCCCACTTATTTACTAAATTATGTATATATAAATTGGATTTTTTTTTCTGTAGGTTACAATTCATTACTGTCCCTCTGTCTTTGCTCAGATTACCCCAGATTTGGCCATTGGGAACTCCTTTAAGTTGACTCCTGTATACTTTCAATGTGCCCCCTTTATTATTTTTTTTAGTACTGCCATATTTTCTGGCACCATGAGATGTTCCAAGCTGATACTGTACTTTTGTTACCCAAAACTGGGTTTATCTCTTGGTGGGTGTGGAGCCAAAAGACAAAACCAGCCAAAGAATAGGAAGAGTTTTTCTTGCACTAAGTAAGGGAGGACACCAGGGATCTTCCCTAAAGCAGTGTCTCCCTGAACAAAAGAATTGGGGAAGTTTTAAGCTAAGGGTACATATGTATTAACAAAGGGGCTTGTACAATGGGGAATTCAGCGTGGAACAGAGGCAAAAGTCATCTTAAAATGACTGACTCCGTGTCAAAGTCATGAGGGCCAGTAAAGGACAGCATCATCAATTGTCTGGCCCCAATTGGTCTGGTATCTGAGTGCTCAAAGGGGTTTAGATCCTGCAAATATAATTCAACAATGTACATCAGGTCAGTCTTCATTTTTTAATCAGCTCTGAATTTTACTGCTGATTTGTCATTCCTGGTATGATTAGGTTATCTCCTGGCCTGATAGTGGCCATTTGTTCTTAACATTCTTTCACAAGATGGCCAGAGGCCTAAAATGACTTTTCTTATATCAAGAAAGCTGTGTGTCTGTTTTTTTTCCCCCCCCCGCAAGGACCCCTAACTCTTTCTGTTTACACTTTCCCAGCCCCAGTTCTGGAACATGTACATTTCCCAGGGAACACTGGCTCCTTTTAGTAGAAAATGATATTTAGAAACCAAGATTAGGGGACGCCTGGGTGGCTCAGTTCTTAAGCGTCTGCCTTTGGCTCAGGTCATGATCCCAGAGTCCTGGAATCAAGCCCCACATCGGGCTCCCTGCTCCGCGGGAAGCCTGCTTCTCCCTCTCCCACTCCCCCTGCTTGTGTTGCCTCCCTCTGCTGTGTCTCTCTCTGTCAAATAAATAAATAAAATCTTAAAAAAAAAAAGAAACCAAATTAAGATACACTCATTGCTTCTAGGTACTCTCAGCTATGAAGTATACATATCTATACACACACACACGCACACACACGTCTGTATCTATTGGTATGAATATACTGATAATCCGTTGCTTCATATGCTATCTCTAATTCCAGTTTAATACCAGGGGGTTTATTCCAGCCTTCTCCATTTCCTTTTATTTTTTGGTAACTCCTTTCTCTGACTGAGAAAATGAAAAAAGTTGACTGTTGGGATGCCTGGGTGGCTAAGCGTCTGCCTTTGGGTCATGATCCCAGGGGCCTGGCATCAGTCTGTGCGAGGCTTCCTGCTCAGCAGGGAGCCTGCTTCTCCCTCTCCCTCTGCCCTTCCCCAGTGTCTCTCTCTCAAATAAATAAATGAAATCTTTTTTAAAGAAAAAGTTGACTCTTATTAACCACAATATATTTATTTATCTATTTGCTCAGTCCTAAGTAGAAAGTAGTTTAAGATTTGCTGACCTAAAATAAAACGAAATCAGAGAGGGAGACAAACCATAAGAGACTCTTAACTATAGGAAACAAACAGAGGGTTGCTAGGTGGGTGGGGGGATGGGGTAACTGGGTGATGGGCTTTAAAGAGAGCACTTGATGTAATGAGCACTGGGTGTTATATGCAACTAATGAATCACTAAACTCTACTTCTGAAACTAATACACTATATGTTAACTGATTTTAAATTAAAAAAAATTGCTAACCTACACTCTCATACATCATACAGTTATTTTTATTTTTAGTCTTAGTGAAAATACAGTTTTCCTCACACCCTCCTGTATGGCAATGTTACTCATTTGTAATATAGTTCGTTCATTTGTTACTATTTGTATTTTATTTTCGATTTACACAATACATCCTGGTTGATTTTAATTATTTTTTGAGTACAGGAAACATTTCTATGTTTCTAAAAGCCTTAATTATTTTTGTTAAGATTTATTTATTTATTTATTTATTTGAGAAAGAGAGAGAGAGCACACACACACGGTGGGGTGGGAGGGGCAGAGGGAAAGGGAGAGAGAGAAACCCAAGTAGACTCCATGCTGAGCTGGAGCCCAGCTCAGGGCTTGATCTCATAAACCTGAGATCACGACCTGAGCTGAAACCAAGAGTCAGATGCTTAACCAACTGTGCCGCGCAGGCACCCCTAAAACCCATAATTAGACAAGAGATCTACCCAATCACTCCTCCACCATTCCTTCTCTCCCAATTCTATTACCCCATTCTTTCCACACTGTTCCCACTCATTGTAGGTAACCAATTTCATTAGTTTGTTGGGGTTTTTTATGTTTGAATATACATTAAAATATACAGAAAATTTAAACATACATAAAATTGGACACTCTATTTTTAAATGTACCATTCAGTGACATTGAGTACATTTACATTGTTGTGCAG